TCATATCATCCCATACACATGTGTTATAGGCTTTCCATATATGTCAAAGGATGATGCCTGGCATAGACTGTCTTAACGTGTCTCGTGAGTTGTTGCCCTTTCCCCCCAGCCACCACATAAGAATTGTCTGCCTTAAGTCCTCGTGGTCAGTCGTTCTAACCTGCAAAATGCCAGAAAAATAGACCCAAATAGGCCTTATGTTAGAGCATGTGAATAGAACGTGGTTTTGGGTATCCTGGTCTGCACAACAGAATGGACATCTTGAGGGTAGTTGGAGATTGAACCGCCTAAGGTTGTCACGGAATGGAAGAGAGTGGTTTAGGAGTTTCCAAATGAATATTTTAATCTTCAGTTGCAGGAGGGGTTTCCAGGTTTGGGTAAGGCTAAATGTAATAGGGTGGTGGGTTCGGGATTGATGGTATGCACTAGTGAGAGTGAATTGACCATCCTTTGCTGGTGTCCAGATTGGTTGAGTGTTTGACAGTAGGATTAGGTCATGATGTTTGCTAGCTATGAGGCAAATTTGTTTCCAAGTGCTTGAATCAGTAGCAATTGATGTCATCTTTCCTTGTCTATGGTATCTGTCATGCATATAGTTTGCCCAAATGGATTTGTTTTCTGTATAATTCCACCAGAGTTTGAGATGCATGGATGCTTGAATATCAATCAGGGACCTGACGTTCAAACCACCTTCTTCTCCTGGTCTACAGATAGCTCTCCAATTCTTCCAATGGTATTTATGTTTTTTCCCAGCGAAACCCCAAAACAAATCTGCCATTAGTCTGTGTAGGATGTTAATCACACTAGTTGTTAGTTTGTTACATTTGTCACTATACTAGTTAACTACTTAATTAGCATTGTTGTTACATTTTTACTTGTACTAGTTATTTACTTCAAAAGTTGCTATAATTTTAATTGTAGAGACACACATTAATTCTACTTTGCAAAAAATTAGTTTGAAGTATTAATTAAAATAGTTTTAATTAGTTGCATTAGTTTTGTATCCATTATTATATTTGTTGTGAATTAATATTTGTTACATTTTTTAGATGAAAGGTGGTAGATATTCGGTTGATTTGGGTAACCTCCAACGCAATCGAAGAAACGAGATTGGGAGGAAGAAATCCCGCAAAGGTAAAGAACTTGCCGGGTCTTCATCTCAAAGCCGAGATGATTTTGAAACGGGTTACCAAAGGCGAGATGGAGATGCGATGTCCGAAGAACAACTCCAACAAGAATTGGCCCGACATAATAACCGCTTTCTACAACAACAACAAATGCCGACGACCATTGACGAAGAGGAGCTTGAGGATGAAGATGCGGAGGAATTGGAACCGGAGACGGCCGAGGAGGAGGGTGCCGGCAGCCACGACGCCGACGCGCCTGCCTCATCCCAAACCGCCACCGGTAATAAAAAAAAGTAAGTCTGAACTAATGAAAAATAATTTTGATAAATGGAAGGACCCACAAACCGGCTATTGGCACGCAACTTGCAAGTGGTGCAACAACAATTATAGTTTGGGAACCTCCGGCGGATACGGATCCGCCGCAAGGCATCTTAAGGCAAAGCACCCCGTGGAGTATGCAAAATTAGGCGGCGGAACGGGGAAGCAAACTCAAATATCGAGGTTTGCGAATTCTCAACCTTTTGGTAATTTCTTCTACAATGATGCACAAAATTCGACTGGTATGGCTAACTTAATTTGTGAAGAAAATTTGCCTTATTTGTTTTCTGAAAGTCTTGCTTTAAGAGATTATGCACAAGGTAGTTTAAATCCTCAATTTAGAAATTATAGTCGCAAAACTGTTAAGAAAGAAATAATAAGGCTTTATAATGCGGAAAAGGTAAGGTTACAAAAAAATTTTGCAAACTTTGATGGGCGTGTTACTATTTGTTCTGACATATGGGAGGATGATTTTCATCATTTATATAATTTGGGTCTGACTGCACATTATATTGATGAGGATTGGAATATGCATAAACGTGTTCTTGCTTTTCGTGAATTTAATGATCGTCACACCGCTGAACATATTTATATTTTGATTGAGCGTATTTTAATTGAGTATAATTTGATTGATAAGGTGTTTGCTATTGGTTTCGATAATGCTACTAATAATACTGCTGTTATACCTAGATTGCGTGAGTTGTGTGGTGCCAATTCTTTGATGGGTAGATTTTTTCATCAACGGTGTGCATGTCATGTTATAAATTTATGTGTGCAAGACGGTTTAAAAGCGTTAGGAGATTCCATGGAGGTAATAAAGGGGGGGTTAGACGTATTTGGGGTAATGGTCAACTTAGATTAAAATGGCAAAGTTATTTGACTGAAAGAGGTGTGAGATATGTTGCTTTTCCTAAAGATTTGAGTATTCGTTGGAATAGTACTTATAAATTACTTAAAGTTGTTCTTAGATATAAAGAACATTTTCCTGCTTTTTTAAAAGAACATGATAACTATATTATAAACGCGGCTAAGATCGACACTTGCGAAAAAATTTGTAATGTTTTGATATGTTTTTTTAATGCTACTGAAACTTTTAGTCATGTTTATAAACCTACCGCAAACCAATTTATTCCACAAGCTGTTAATCTCGCCGATGCTTTTAAAGAATTTCAAAATGCCGTTTTCCTTCATTATTTTTGTGATCATATGAAGGAAAAGTTTTTAAAATATTATGCGCATATTCCTCATATTTATGGTATTGCATTTATTCTCGATCCTCGTTATAGACTTGCTAATTTGGAAGATTGTTTCAACTTCTATTATCTTGCGTTTTTCGGTGAATTTCCAATGTATGACGATAACCCCATAGATCCGAAAACGGAATACAACGGGGTTAGTACTTTATTTTATGCCTTATTTAATGAATTTCGTGCACAATATAGCAACGCTCCCCCTCCCCCGTCACGAACATCTTCATCTAAAGGAAAATCGATTTTTAAATCTGCATTTGGCAATCTTATGAAAAAAACTAAAACAACTCACGTCACTGAACAAAGCGCATTGAATGAGATTACTTTGTATTTAACATATGAAGTTGATTTTGAAGAAAATGATGACTTTGACGTTCTAGACTGGTGGAAGTCAAAAGAAAGAACGTTCCCGATTTTAGCACGGATGGCTAAGCAAGTACTATCAATGCCGGTTTCAACAGTTGCTGTGGAACAAGAATTTAGTTCGGCCGGCAACGTCCTAACGGCATCTAGATCGAGATTGAGCGCGGAGTCTCTTGAGACGCTTATATGCTACCACGATTGGTTGAAGGCCGCACGTAGAACTCAAGAATTGAGCATCACCCCCTCCCAAGATTTTATGGATGACTCAACAACCGATGGTGGCTCTACCTATGTCGGAGATTCTGATTGATTAGTATTTTAGAATTTATTACAAAATGTATTTTATAGCACTTGTCAAATTTATTTATACTTGTACTTCATATTTCAAAATTGTAAACTTGTACTTCATATTTCAAAATTGTAAATTTGTAGTTGTAGTTCAAATTAATTTGTAAACTTGTACTTCATATTTCAAATAAATATGTGTTCACTTTTTCATATGTAGCACTTCTCAAATTAATTAATTGGTTACAATCTAACGACTTAAAATTATTTTTCTAAAATATAAAGCCGGTTTTTAAATTAAAAATACATTTAGAATATGTAATTTGTTCAAATACTTATACACCTATTTTGTAACATTTGTAAATTATAAATCAAACCACTTTTCTAAGTACAAATAGTTTTAGTTTTACTTAATTCATTAAATTAATTAATTTATTTTACAATATGTGTATAACTTAAAAAAAAAATTCAAAGCTCCCAAACGGCTATATAGCCGTTGGGGCTATGGGTGGGGGGAAGGGGGGTCCCGGGGGTGGTGGTGTGGGGAGTGGGGTTCAAAAACATCTATAAACACATCTATTTTCTAACATTTTTCTACACCTTTTCTCCAATTCTTCTCAAACTCTTCTCCATCTTCATCTTCATCTTCTCTTATTATCCTACATTCCTACTTATACATATACCATTTTAAATATGGAAAGTACATCTTCCCTTATGCAAAACAATTTTGACAAGTGGAAGGACCCGAAGACCGGACTGTGGTGGGCAACTTGCAGGTGGTGCAAGAAAGACTGTTGCTTGGGGCGTTCATACGGATACGGGATGCCAATAAAACATATGAAGTCCTGTGACAAAGGGAAAACAACAACCAACGGTGGCGGAAATCCCAATTGATATTCATTACAAAATGTATTTCGTATTGTTATTTTTTTCTCAATTCTCAAATGTAGTTCTTATTTCAAATAAATGCACTTGAACTTTGTTTTTAATAGCAATTTGTATAATATATAATTAATAAAAAAAAATTGTACTGGCCCGGCCCGGCGGGTGGCCCGAACCGTGACCCGGGCGGGTGGCCCGAACCGGAACCGGTCATTGACCGAGCCGGTCCCGGGCCTACCGTTATAGGACCCGAGGCCCGACCGGGCCTTGACCCGGCCCGGGTCCATCACTAGCCCTACATAACTTTTTTATTACATTGCATATGAAACCAATTTTGCATGTTATTTTTTTAAAACGGATAGGTTTCATATGAGAAAACTTTAAAAAAAAAATACAATTTTTAACTGATAACTTGATAAGTATGATGGGGGTGTTTGGACTTTGGATAATGAGGTTCCAACAAAAAATGACAATTTTATCCCTTTTAGCAATTTCACCCTATGCCAAGCATGCCCAATGCATTAGAACGGTTTTATTTAAACTTAAATACAATATTGGTTTCATATGAAATGTAATAAAAAGTAATGAATTTAGATATATTATTTGTAAAAGTTAGAGTACAAATAAACATTATTGAAAATTTTAAAGTGCTAAATTATTGTCTATTCCATATATGAAATATTAGTGACACGTGAAAAATAATAAGAAGTTATGAGTTTTGATATATCCGAGGTATATTTTTAGACTCTCGGAGTACAAAAAAAGGTATAAGTATAAATAATGTTTCCTTGGTTTCCTTGGTAATATAAATAATTTCCCAAAGAGGGTTATTTTTGGAGACTAGTCTCTAATTTTTAATATCATACATACACTTACACTACATACAAAATACAGGTGTTGATCAGAAAAACCCAAACTTATACTAGTATATCATTATCATTGTGATCTGTTTAACCTCAAAATTTGAAAGGCATACAAAACTAAACAGCCTCTCTGATTTACGTGTTGATCCAGCAGAGGTTCATTCTTGGTGTTGATCCAGCAGAGGTTCATTCTTGTTTATCGCATGGTCTTGGAGAAGTTTCTTTGGGATTACTAATAACATCCTTGCTGGTTGACGAAGGCGGAAGGCACCTTTTTGAAAAGAAGGCTGCAATGCTCTTTGTCCTCACACTGCCAACTTTTTCTGCAAATATTATTGTGTGTATTTGTATCGTTAACTGAAATTCTAGGGAATGGAAATAAGATGTCTAGGAATATTACTTTTTAAAGGTTCAATTTTTTCTATGAAAATCAAAAAGCAATATGATTAGTAACTCTTAGGTGCATTACAGGTGGCACTATTAGGAAAATATTTTAATATAACATACAATCATTGAGTTATAATCACATACAGGAGCATAGTTAGGGGGCATACTAGGCCATGACTCCGCTAAATTTTGAAAAAACATTGAATTTGGAAAATTTATCTGAAAGGATTCTTTATACCAGCAAGCCCATTTATACTCCTGCTTACGCAGCTAATCAAATATTTACCTTTCCATCAACACTATGATGTCTCCTTGTGAAGTAGACTTTTGATTGACCCTAAATTTTCTCTTACAGCTCATATGCATTTAGAGTTCATTCTCATTATGTAATAGAATTAAATATATAAAAACAAACCAAGTTCATCAACAAATATCTAGAGTAAATTCATTGAATTACTTAACTTCTATTTCCTCACACATTGTCTTTCCTTCCTACTTTATTTTCCATAGTATTCCCCACGTCCAAAGGGGAAATGCAAGTATATCTCCAACACAACTATTAAAACCCTCCACTACGAGAGAAATGCAATTCAAGATGAAAAGTCTCTAAGAACTAGCAAGCATATTTTAAATTGAGGAAAAGGATGAAGAATACCTGGGGTCAATCCAACTCTCGCAAGAATGTCCTTTTTGACCTGAGATGAGGATGGGAAATTAGCTCTTAGCAATCTTTAAATATCAGGGGGCAAAATTTTAAAGAACTGGAGCTTTTGAGGGGTGCGAGTTAAATATCACAAACTTGCATATATATATATAGAGTAAAATCTTCCGGTCAGGTATACCTGACAGGAACATTTGTGTATATATATATATATATATATATATATATATATATATATATAAGTTATCAAGACGGCCTAACAGGAACCGTCGTCCGTCCAAGCCCATTTAAGGGGCTTCCCAGTGAAATTTTTTGAAATGAATTTTTGTGAGAATGTTCTCCATGAAGTATAGATTACCTCTACAAAATTTCAGCTTTAAATTCAATGGGCAAGTCAATTACATGTGGAATTGAAAAACACTACGCTGTTTATTTATATAAAGCACAATATTTTTAAATAATATATTTAGCTGTCTTGCAGATTTAATTTTAAGCTGAAATTTTGTGGAAATAATCTACACTTCACGAGGAACATGACCACAAAATTTCATAAAAAATTCCACCGGGAAGCTTCTCAAACGGGCTATGCTAACCAATTATATAAAGTTTGGGGTATTTATATTACATGTGTAAGTTCGGAGTATATACCTTACACCCCTGCAAAGTTTAGGATGTTCAATTTTTCCCCCCTAAATATTACAATAACATATTGATCTCTCCCTGCAATATATACTATTATAACTAACCTGCCATCTATTATCTGCGAAATCTGCAATTTCACGCACTTTACTTCGCAATTGGGTCTTTGCCATATGAGGAAACTTTAGTTGCAATGATTCAACAATCTTGTTTATGCCATGCGAGCATGATTTGATTACAGATACCTATCAAGAGCATCAGTTGGCAATTACAATTATTATTTTTGTGGCAATAAGGCATTTTCTGTAATTGCAGGTCTTATTTACACTTGAGTTCCAGGGAGATGTTAATAAAACTTACAATTACAGGTAAATCTGATTCCTGCAGAGCTGACATGCCAGCTTGTGAGGTAGCTATCTTGCTGCTGCTTGTGGGAGAAGCTTCTTGAACCTTTTCATCAGTTTGATGATTTACACATGATATCTGCAGAGATGGCTGACCTGGGAAGAAGCACATCTTCAAAGCACTCAAACAAAGTTGTTCAAGCTTTTCAGTACCAGTGACATCATCATCCAACAACAGCAAATCTTTCTCGTGCTTGAAATTTATTATAAATAATGGCTGGTTCTTCTTGAGAGCATGCTCCGTCAAATTGTTTAGACATTTCTGCTGCCGAAGCACACCAATTGCTTCACCTTGCACTTCTGGATTCAAACTTGGTGTAACTTTAATCTCACACATGCCATCAGTTTCTGTTTTGTCAAATTCAACTCCCTGCAGGAAAAGATTTACCTTCATTTACTTAGAATCTAGAAATGCTCCATAACTGCGAGGTTCCATCAAAAGATTGTAGTTCTATCAAGGGTTTTCATCAATCGGTTTAAGTTGGGTCCAGCATTGACACATGTAAAACCAAACCAATCTGAATAGATGAGGTCAGTTCTGTTCTCTGGTCAATTTTGGTCAGTTATCAAATCCTAAAATTTAAGCTGCAGCCCGCAAACCAAAAAACCTATGGTCAAGGCAGTTTTAGTGAGTTTGGTTTCACATTTTTTGGTTTGAGATCTTTCATGGGAGATCCTTGGGGGCAAGGAAACGCAGGAAATGAAAATGAATTAAGGTACCTCATCCTGGGATAGATATCCATCTGGGACAAAAAAGCCATCTTCACTTTCTTCTTCCTCATCATCACCTTTTGAACAATCTTCCTCTAAACTCTCAACATCATCTTTATCACAATCAGATAAGCTTTCACCAGGTTCCTCCTATGATGTCAATTTTAGGTCAAAGAGAACAGCACTAAGAAACAGTGAAATAATGTCAGATGCATATTGATGCAGAAATACCTCTTCCCACTCCTCATCACTGTCAATCTCATAATCCAACTCTGGGTCCTTTGTGAAAGGGCTACGTCCCTTGACAGCTTCACTGATAAATAGAAATGCACAAATAAGTAAGAGCAACACATTTGCACAGCCAAAATCACCAATTACATCAAAGAAAAAAAGTATTTAGCAGCGAATTCAGTTTCATCCAGATAACTAGCAAAACAATCATTCAGAGAAACATTCAAAAAACAACATTTTTATAATAAAGACCCTGTGAATCTAAAAAAAACACTCTCTCCATCCCTTAAAACTTTGCCAACTTTCCTTTTTTGGATGTCCCACTAACTTTGCCACTTTCCCTTGATGAATTTGTGGTTTCATTTAATTCTCTCTCCTCTGCACAAACCTCAACCACACAGTTTTTACTTTATTAATCCTCATGCCGATCAAACATGGCAAAGTTTTAAAGGACGGAGGTAGTATGAAAGAGTCTTATAATGCCATCCTTTGTGCTGAAATTGAATGTTATTCCATTGTATATCATCATTAGGAGAAGAAACCAAACAAACTGTTCCAATCAACAAACATTGTTGAATAAGACGTGCTGAAATATCATTTAATAGCATTATTAACCATACTTATGTTCACTGCTGACAGCAACTCATCAATAAACAATTTAATTCATAAAAATTACTTAATTAGAAAGAAGAACCAGTTTCAAGATTCTGATTTAAGTCCATACATCCCACAACCTTGTGAATTATTGCTGATTCTCTCATCAAGATCGGGCTCTGGATTGCAAATAGGTCAGTTTGCAAGAAGTCTCAGTTTTTTGGTGAGACCCTATGATTTGCCATCTGATTCAGTACTCTTGATTCAGTACTCAGTATAATACAAAATTAATAACGGATACAAAAGTCCTATTAGGAAAGGTTGTGATTTTCTATGATAACTAGCAGCAACCTAATCAATTCGCCACCCCTACGAATCAGGCATTTAACAGACCATATATGTCTTCCTTTATTCTTTCCTTCTTTGCTATTGGAAGTTCATTTAAACGTGTTTATTACTTTTAATGCATGCACATTTTTTCAGGTGTCTAAAGAAAACATTTGTGCGGTCTTCTAGCTGTAAATTTTACAGCCACCTCCAGATCCTAGGTAGAATACCAATTTTTAGAAAGCTAGTAAGAAGCTCATTGTTCCTAGCTTCTCAATTGTTGGACAAAATAATGTCATACTATAGTGGAAAAACTTCAAAATAGATCCATAATTGTGGTACTATAGTGGAAAAAACTTGAAAACTTCAAAATGTGATAAAGCATGGTCACCTTTTCTTTGGCCAAACGCCATAAAATGCAGGCCTGTGGCTCTTATCGAACTGCAATAATTTTACACGTCGTAGCCTATTCCGGGAACCAGATGGAAAACTCTTAGGATTCATGTGGCAGATTTTGCTATCACCGTTAGTGTCAATCAATCTATCAGAAAGCTTTGCTTCAGTTATCTCATAATCATTAGAAAGCCCTTCACTTGTAGTTAGCTTGAGATCTTTGACAACTTCAGTTTTGGGTCCATGACGAAGCCCCCAATGAGAACTTTTATTTGAATGAACTAAATGACCCAAGCATCGCCAAGAGTCTATATGTGACCTGTGAAGTAACAAAAATATTAATTTTACATTTCAAGAATAATACGCTACCAAAGCAACAAATAACAGTAAAAATAAATATTAATTTAAGAATACAAAAAATATAGTTTAAGCTGAATAAACATGAAGAAAAAAATAACCTCCACAGCTCTTCTGCACTTATTCTATCCTGAAGTGAAAGAATAGAGTCCATTGATGAAGTAACAGATTCAGGTATTATATCCCTCTCCTCAGGGCATAAATCAGATATTGCATTGCTCAACAATTGGTCATCTTGAGAAGTTGAGCAATTTTTGTTCTTTTTAAGAAAGCGTTCCATGAGTGAAGCTTGTTTTTGTAAGGACTGTTGTTTTTTTAAATCAGCCTCTTCCTTCTCCTTGCGTCGCTGATCTTTCTCAGCTTCTTCTTGTTGCTTCTTTAATTGCTTTTTTAGCTCAGATTCTTCTCTCTCACGTCGCTTCTCCTCTTTCTCCTGTTTTCATGAAGTACATAAATTGAAATAAAAGTTAAATGCACAGAGAGCCCACATTGCTAACACTGAACTGTAAAATTGGAATTAAAAAAATGTGAAAATTTGGTTATAAAGATTAAGCACAACGTTTCATTAAGCAAAAGGTTGTTTAGGAACAAGCTGTATAACTTACACTCAGTAACTTTTCCTTTTGAAGTTCCTTGTCCAGTCTTCTTTTTTCCTTTTCTGCTTCTCTTTTGCTCCTCTCCATCTCCTTGATCAAAATCTTCTCCTTCTTGGTATCCTTCTCAGCACTTCATAAGTTAAAGGAAATGATTTAAAATATTGGAAACCATGCAAAAAATGCAACAATAAGACAAGTGGTAATACAGACATTTCAGCACCACTTGTTTGTCCCATGTTCTGTATTAACACGCGTATTTCTGCTTCAGCTAAAACTTTAGAAAGCTTATCTGAAGCTCTCATCAGCTCTTTACAATTTTGATGACTTTCTGGTTTATAGAGAGCAGCTAACATTGCTGAGAAAAAACAAAAAAATTGTTAACATATTGAATCATTGCTTGTATAATGAGTTCAGGACTGAGGATTACTCATCAACGTTTCCATGTGTAAGGATTTAATTACATGACCAAGTTGCAGCTACAAGTAAATGATGAACAATAACACATTTATATCAACTTCATAGCATTTTTCTGTAGTCAATTGGATATATAAGCTTCCAATACAATTACAAAGAATATTCAGATTAAGCTTATCATACACAGAATAAGTTGAACTGCATCAATTCTTGTAAAAAGGATATTCGAAAAAATAAGATTCCAATGCCATTATAGTAAATACAGCATATATTGTATTCCATTCAGCCTTGTCTAAAATAATAATAATAATAATAATGCAACATAGGGAATCTTTAGTTCAATCATTGAGTTATTGGGTGATGAAGCAAAAACTCAATTGCTCAAGCAAAGTGGATTTGGTTGGCAAAACATGGTGAATAAAGTAAAAACATTGTTATAATGAACAACAAAACATTTTCACTTTGGCTTTCAAGTATTAATTAATCAAAGAAAGAAATTATTCAAGTTGAACCTTTAGCCATTAAAACTGCGGTTAAACTTTTAGCATGACCTAATAGCATACCAGATACAGCGGAAATCCTCTCGTGTATCTTTTTCCTACAAGTTCGGCGGATTCTAATATCAGAACGCATAGACTTTGGCAACAACTTAGCATCCCTTGTCTGCACATCAAGAAGAGATAGCCATAAGGATTACAGTTATTCAAACACAGAACAATTTACTGTGTATATCAGTGATGTAATTGCACAGAAAGGGACTAAACAAACAGTGAACAACAGAATACGGATTTACAATCTATATATAAATTGTAAAAGAAACAAGTCAAAAAATGAATGTTTACCTCCCAGCACCAAAGGGCAGATTCAGACTCATCCTCCAAGACATCAGCGTCGGTGCCAGGAATTCCGTAGAACAGCCTGTGCCCAACCAAGATCACAGCGCTCTTTACAGCAGCTTTGCTTATAAGCTCTACGTTGCTTTTGATTCCTTCAGGAGCGGTATTGATTTTCGCAAAAATCTCATCCACTAACTTAGTGAGCGGAAGACTGCTCTCTTCCATTAAAGAGGCTATGGTCGAATTCATCGAGATGCCAGCCGTGAAATTCTCCCCGTGTTTATTCACTCCCTGCTTCAGCCCTTCCTTGTAGAAGCTGAACAACCCCTCCATTTCCTCGCGCAACTCCTTGATTTTAGCTTCTCTCTCTTCTGGCCGCACCAATGCAACAGAAGACGCCCTCTTTCTCTTCAAGTTCCCCTTCGAAGTGACATCGCACTGAGAATCCGGACCCTTCGTTGTTTTGGTCTCGTCTATTACGTCGACGGTCATCGGCTCTGCCATGACTCCAAGTTGAAATAAGCAACTATTTGACTGCCAAAGAACTAATTTTTGGGTTAGGGTTGGTGGTTTCTACTGGATTTTCTCCGGAAAGCCGAAACCCTAGAAGAAGACTCAAGAAATGAAGGATTCGAGGGTGAAAGAGAAATAAGAAATGAACAACTCTCATTGGAGGACGATCGATTTGCTCCTGCTCTTATTTTCTTTTTTTCCCTCGCATTTCCGCGCCAGTTTTTTCGCAAAAAAGGAAAAATGCCGAAATTATTTTCGCGGCGAAAATTGTCCGCGCGGCAAGCTTATGGGCTGAATTAATTAGCACTGTCAAGATGCTGGGCCGTTCATGGTGGTAAAGGCAACATCAAAAGGGTTGTACCGTTGGTGTATGACCATTGACCACTATTATGAGTGTTGGGCCAACAGCAATCCATATTTCATATTTCTATGGGAACCCTATTTGTATATATGTAATCATAAAATATCTCAAAACGAAAGTCCAATTCATTGCAATTGTCTTGCATAATGTATGGAGCCAATAGTGATTCCTTACCTCTTACCAAATTGCTGGAATACTTTTAGGGCCGTTTGGTTCAACAAGTATCAGATTGTCAGACAAATTGCTGGATATGTTAGATTGATGGCAATGTATTAAATCAGTATCTCATTTGTGTTTGGTTAAGATTAAGGAATGTGACATTAATTTATGAGAAAATTGTCCATAATAAGACACTTTCATAGACTTTTGATTAAAATAAGACCAACTTAAATGTATTACTTTCGTAAGCCAAATATACTCCTAATTTAGGAAACTTAAAATCACTTTTCCTAAAATACCCTTGGGTGTTTATATCCCTTCTACTCGTACTGCTAACGAATTAACAGCACTGGACTTTGTCTTCAAGCTTCGCTAACGAATTCCACGCTAGCTCCCTCTTCAAGCTTCGCTTTGGACTTCGTTGATGTTGCATCAAAAACTCGAACTCGATTTGCATCAATTTCAACTCAGAATCAATTTCGGATTGGAGTTATTGTTCTCTGCAGAATTCCTGTTCAGCTTCATCACAGTTTTTTGCTCGTTCCTTCTGCGATTTTTCTGTTGTAAGTTTCCAAGTTGTCTTCGAGTTTCATTCTAATTACTTTTTTGTAGTTCAATATCTTCGATTTTAGTTTGTTTATGAATTCCGACATTAAGTTTCCTTCGCAGTCTGACATTATATTTATCTGAAACTATATGTATAACACTTTGAATTTTTGTCTTCTTTTTATCACTTTTGTATGTTGTACGTACTTCAACATGCTTCTGCAACAATAGCTTTTGCTCTTAATATATGTTGTTTAGTTGTTCTCTTTTTGTTCTTATACCTTTTATTTTAATTTGGTTATTTGTTGTTCTGTTTTTTGTTCTTATAACTTTCAGTTTAGTTTTTATTACTATTTTGTTGCTGTTTGTGTTATTATTTGTTTTTCCATTGATTTGTTCAGACATAAATACCTTATATATGGATCTATTATGTGATCTATTTCGTCCAGATCCGCACTCACTTCTCCAGATCTGATCGTGCTCGTATGGTCCACGAATTGTTCTGAAGCATACGGATTGTTCGCTAGCTCGCAGCTAATTCGATCAGTTCCCGATTTAATTGGGTTGGTTTTTCTATGTTTCACATTCATCATCTATCTCTTCTTATCTTGACATATACTGATTTTTATCTTGGATTACCCCTTTTACATTGTCTCCTATAAAAGGGAGATGAAATAAATTGGTTTGATGTGTATATATCTCCTGAGCTGAGATGATCGAGTGTATTACAATTGTGCTTGAGCTGATTTTGAGAGTTCTCTCTTAATAGGTTCTGTGGCTACGCAGATTAAAGAGTGAGTCCATGAAGTCTCTCTTGAAAAATTGTTGGTGAAGCAAGACCTTACTCACGTAAGTGATAGGCCTGCAATTGTCAGTTGAGGGAATTCCTGTTACCTTCTCTGCTATTATGGTATTATCGCAACTTATTTTCTGGAAATAGACCCAATATCCTCATAGAAAATCCCAAAATCCTCCAAAGAGTTGAATGAAATCCCATTGCGAGCATCCTTCATAGAGTCTCGTTGGCGAAGCAAAGTAGTATAGAACAATTGAAATCCTTTTCCTTTCATACCTTGAGGTATGATAATAGTAGAGCTAACCCCTTTTTCAAAAGCAACTAAATGAATAAAACCCCAAATCTATTATGATCCATAGATAAAAGTACTTTCCTATCATTTTCAAACCTAGTGAAATTCCAGGTTCCTGACTGAATTTGACGAAAAGCCTCACACAACCAATTAATTCCACCCTTGTCAAAAGAAATATAGCAGAAGTGATGATTCTTAATTTGACTGATTTGGAAACAAGAGGGTGAAGAGGAAAAACAGAATAGTTTACTCCCAATTCATATGCCAGTCTTTGAAGGAGACCCCTGTGATGAAGGTTCGCCTCTAGCTTTCCCCGAATCTGAATTCCTCTTCCTTCCCCTCTGCCTGAAGTGTGTCTTAATGCTATAAGGAAAACTTGGCCTCCGTAAATCATGTCTGTTATCTTGCTTTCCTGCATTCCACTCTGGCGAACCACCTGTATCATCCGCTAGATTCCATTTCCCAACATAACCCCTTCTGAAATCACCTTCTCCCCATCTTGCTGTTTAGAACTATTATTTACAATTGCTTTTTATTTATTTTTTCATAATAGACTTTTACTTACTGTTATTTCCTTTCGTATATGCATTTTAGGTTATTGCGCATGAGTTTGAAGTTGTTGAAAAAAATGTATAGATCTTTATATTGATATTCATGTGATTTGTATTGTACCTATGCATGAGAAATATATCTAAATTTCATTTCAACATTTGAATCTATCAAATTTCATGTTGCTTCTTATTTTTGGAATTAATTCTACTTTAGGTCCTTCGAGTTTTGTGTCATTTCCATATTTAGTCCCCGTCTTTCACTTTATCCATTTTTGGCACCTGACTATTGTTTTCTTGACCATTTTCGGTCCATCTCTGGGCATTTTTACTACTGGAAAGGACTATATATGGTCAAGAAAACAATAGTCAGGTACAAAAAATGGATAAAGTGAAATGTGAGGACTAATTGTGGAATTGGTGCAAAACTCGAAGGACCAAAAGTGAAATTTCTTCTTATTTTTGTACTAAAGTTTGTACTTATATTTACGTCTGAATAAATTTAATGTCTACGCCTGAGAAACTAAGGACTTTTTTACTATCTACTTATATGTTGGAGAGACAAAGAAGAAGATAAATGTAACCTTATTTGTCTAACTGTTGTCCGAGCACGCAGAGGAGTTTTTGGATTTGCCTGAATGGTGATGAGATGCTCCGAACAGCTTGAGCCATGTTAGATAAGCAAGTCCCATTCAGGATAAAATCAGGTGAAGGAGTCCATACGTGGTCCGTGGAGAATAAGGGTCAACAGTTCAAATGGATCCTATTTTGGTGCAAAGATCTCAAGTTCGTCGAGGAAGTGATGGAACGAATGGAAATGGCCGGGGTAGTTCTTTTCCTTGAGGGTATTAATGTCAATGCATTTAAATTAGGTCCTACGCGTTTCTACAGTCTTATTTTTGGAAATCTGCTATGTTTTGGTACTATTTGTAAAATTTTCCCTTAATTTATTTGGTTGAATGATATCTCATATTGCAGACTTGGTGAATTAATTTAGTGTCCTTCAAATATTTTCTCTTATAACACAATAAATTTATTACAACCTACATTCAAAGTAATTTATACTATAGGAAAAATGAAATATCTCAATAATAAATAAAATAAAAACAATAGAATGTTATTTAAGAAAAGTATGTTTATATTTGCAAAAAAAAGTATGTTTATTTGCTCAAATGACAAAGATTAGTGAACATTAGTAAGCATTATTGTTAAGTAAATGCATAATGAAACACATTAACAAATAAGTTGAATATTCCATTACATGAACATTTGTGGCAAACAAAGCAAGTGAAAAGAGGTTCTCGTATAGTCGTATGATACCTCCTCTTGATTGAATGAGGGGTATTTTTGGAAGAAGTGTTATGACCAACCAGGCATCCAACATAACTTAAGAGCTTCGTGGGTTTAAGATTACGGGCCATGAGATTACATTCCTCACTTTTGAGAATGTAGCATTCCCCAAAAAAAGTTAAACCCGCAAACCAAACGCGGGAATCTCAGATTCCGGACATCAAATTCCGACCTGCATACAAGATTACCTCCAACCAAACGTACCCTTATTATTTTTATATCACAAAGTAAATGAATAAAACTAATGTCAAGCACTTTTTTATGAATAAAACACAACCGTTATATTTAAAGTGTTTAGGTTTATAAACTTCAAGAACCTTGAAAACAATATGTATGTGCGCAACTTATTAAAATAAATAAAATTGCAATTGAAAAAGAATAAAATTAACTCACGAGTCACGACCATCGTTGGGTTCTCGCCACTACCATCATTCTTTGGATACCCGGACAACCACTATCAAGTCTCAATCACTAACCCCACACTCAGAAAAACACAGTATAATACTGGTGATTGAGACATGCTAGAACGTGCTAGGTTTTGGTCTAAATAGGCTGGATAGTTTTACCATTGTTTTCAGGTCTGGATATCAACTTTTACCTATTGAAGACTTAATCTTTTGTCTGACTTAATATGGTATATTTAGTTTGTATGTAAAGACTTGTTTGTGTGTGATTGTGTCTGTGTGGGTGTGCAATCAATTGTAGACCAAAATAAGTAAGTAAAGATGTCAAATCATTTAAATACACTATGAGGTTTATTAAAAAAAATAAACAACTTGATAATATGCAAGTTTTGTAACTTAACAATATTTGAACACTTTTAATACTAATGTGCTTTATATGGAATGAGCTAATAACACATCATATATATTTAAACAATATGTTTTTTGGTAGATTATTTTATATTGATATAAAATAAGATATCGCAAATTGTAAGGATCGTCAAAGCAGATGCTAGATGATGACACAACGTACAAGAGAAAATAAATATTACAGCCCAGAGAATGGTCCCAATTATAGTTAGTGGAAGAAGCAAATGAAAAGTTATGTTGAAAGCAAACATAACTGACAAAATATAAATGAAACAAAATCCTTTCACCAAGGAATATAAATAGAACTCAATCTAAGTTAGACTTTTTCTTTTGTGAT